AAAGCAAACGACGTGACAGCCGGGAGGGAGGGGAACGCGCAGCACCGGGTCGTACCCCAGGTTCCAAAGGAACGGTCCCAACACGGAACCCTGGGGCACTCCCCGGTGCAGTCTCTCCCGTCGGCGTACGCCGCCTTGGTCGACGTATTCGACCCACCTGTCCCTCAGGTAGTCGCTCACGACGCGGGCGAGATACAGCGGTACCTCGCGGCGTCGGAGCGACTCCCTGATTCGTCCCCAGGGGAGGGTGTTGAAGGCGTTGGATATGTCTAAGGACACAGCCAACATCACCCCCCCCCCTGGGACGTCGCCTCTTCAGAGAGGGCCTGGACACGCTTAATAGCGTCAATGGTTGACAGGCCCTCTCTGAACCCATATTGGGCCCCGCTGATATTGGGGCCCGTTTGGGACAGGTGCTGGACGAGGCGGTTCACGAGTACTCGCTCGAACAATCGAGTCGTATCTAGTCGGCTTTATTCGGCAGCGACTCGAACTCACTTCGTGACCGTGAAAAGAGAGGGAAAATGGTCTGATGCGTGACGTGAGCCCGAGTGCAGAAAAGAGGCACGAGAATGGAGCGGTTTGTTGTCCGAGGGGTTCGAGGTAAAAGGGCGAACGACGAAACTGATGATTCTTCCAGTATAGAGCGTCAAGCAGAAACACAGCAATCTGCGAGTGCATCGGATCTAACCTCAAAAGTGATTGATTCTGTTGCTCGTGAGTAAAAAATATAGAAAGAATGATTAAATCAACAAAGTATCTTAATTTCTAAATCAAGTTTTTAATTCAGATATATTTTTAGAGAAAAGTGCCGCACATTCGGAAGTTCCACAAGTGTACCAACGCTGGAAACTAAACAATCCCTGGCTTGGTCTAAACGAACTTGATCAAATAATTTGTACCATATGTACTGAAGCGTGCAATAAGAAATTAGTGATTTATTTCACCTCGTACGATCTACGATCGAAAGAAACGTGGGTGGACAATGGGTTCGGCAATTGGAAACATGGAGCGGAAAGGATAAAAAACCATTCGAAGGGTTCCCTTCACATTAATTGCGCAGAAATTTTGAAAAATTGTGGCAAAGTTAACGTTGTGCAGCATTTATCAACTTCATTACAAAAGTAAATGATGGATCATCGCACGGCCTTGAGAAAAATTTTTAGTACTTTAAGAATCCTCGGGAGGCAAGGACTGGCGATACGCGGAACGGGCAATGACGAAAACTCGAATTTCATGACAATTTTGAAAGCGAGAGCAGATGTTGTGGAGCTCGAATCCTGGCTAAAAAGAACTGGTCATAAATGGTTACACCACGACGTCCAGGACGAAATAGTACAAGCGATGGCTACAGAAATTATGTTGGGAAATATATGCGAGATAAAAAATTCCGAATATTTTTCTGTACTTCTGGATGAAACAGCGGACATAGCTAGAACAGAGCAAGTTTCTATTTATTTCCGGGCCATCTCTTCAGATCTTGTCGCTTCAGAGTATTTCATGGGTTTCTATTCGACAGCAAATATTATACGAAAGCACAAACATTATTTGATATCGTCAAGGATGTGCTTGTTCGTTTTGATTTACCGCTCTGTAAACTTAGAGGTCAATGCTATGATGGAGCTGCGAATGTTTCCGGAAAAATCTCGGGATTGCAACAACGGATTCAAGACGAAGAACCCCGAGCACTTTTTGTCCACTGCAATGCTCATAACCTTAACCTTGTTGTTCAAGATGGAATAGAGAAAGTGCTTGAAGCAAGAAAATTCATTGGAGAAGTCAAAGATATGATAAACTTCGTACGGGATTCGCCGAAACGATTCAGCAAATTCCAGAACTTACAAGCTGCTGAAAAAGAAGAAAATGAGAAAGATGTTCCCGCTCTTGTAGCATACTGTCCAACAAGGTAAGATTTTGAATCACATTCTAAAGTTAATTCACAAATCATTGTTATCTATTGTTCCAGATGGGTAGTGCGAATAAAATCTTTGAAAACTGTCTTGGCTAACTATAAAATGTTGATGTCCTTTTTTCAAGAGCTGATTAAGGATCGAGAAGTCGACAGCACTATCGTTGCCAAAGCTTCAAGATTTTTAGAGCGCATGGAATCATTTAAGTTTTTGTTTCTTTTGAATATGATGGTTGAGATTTTTGATCGTATTGAAATTCTTAACAGAGATCTTCAAAATTCAGAGCTTTGCGTAGTAGATTCATGTCGTAAAATAGAAGATGTGACTTATTCGTTGGATGCCTCCCGCGATTCTAAGTTTGAATCAATTTGGCTGACAAGCTTTCCAAAGAATTTGACATTGAAGAACCAAATTTGCCTCGAAAACGCAAAATTTCCAAGCGAATAGACAATAGCAAAGTCGAAAATCATGTTTTCCAGACCCCAAAAGACTCTTATCGAAAGATATATTATGAAGTATTTGACCAAATTATGTGCTCTTTAAAAAGTCGCTTTGATACTGACTCAGCCAAGTTTTTTAAAACTTTAGAACGTTTCGTCGTCGGTGAAGCAGTGGACGTGAAAAAAATTGTCACGTTTTATAAGGGAGATTTTGATGAATTCAGATTAGGAAGTGATAAAGATATGGCTTTAAGTATTATGAAACGAAAAGGAAAGAATCCGCAAAGTTTGAAAGATGTTGTGGAATTCATGCGCGAAAGAGATTGGTGCATGGGACTTGTTCCAGAATATTTGCGCTTTATTCGATTACTTATGACTATTCCAGGGTCATCTTGCTCTAACGAAAGAAGCTTTTCTGTTTTACGACGGGTCAAAAATTACTTGCGCTCGACGATGTTGCAAGATCGACTAAATCACATAGCAATCTTACACTCGTACCCAGATGCAGTTGATAAGCTCGATTTAGAAATACTTATGAACAAATTTATTTCTCGAAATGCTAAGCGAACTTCGGTTTTTGCATTGCACACATAAAAACATAATAAACCGAATATAATAACAACATAATAACGCCCTGTTCCCCCTCCCCCCGCTGCACTACCCACTCGGATTGAAGACGTTTCGCCGGCCCTGCCGTCCTTGGCCGTTAACCTTCTCATATTGCTTTACAGCCTTACATTTCTTTTATTTGGTAACTAATATAATAAATTCTTAAAAAAAATTTACTACTTCAAAATACCGAGACCATTCGCAGAAAGATTCACTAAGTGATTCGTTTTAAGATTTAAATGTTAACGCAAAGATTTCTGAAAAAAACGGATTGTTTAGAAAAAAATTTTACGTAAAATTTTTGTGCTTGTCGAAATCTTCATACATTGATAATGGGGAAGTTTGTCTTGTTTTCTGTTTTATTACAATACGCTTTCTTCATATCCCTACATTTTCTGTAGAAATTTCTTAAGAAATAGATTTTTTAAAGAATAAAATCATCTGTGTAATCAAATGTTAAAGAATACAATTTTCATAGGAGAATTACAGAAAAGATAACTCAAAATGTAATTTAATTGACAAATATTATCAAGAAAAAAAATGTATGTCTGTCCTACGTAAAAGGACGCACAGAGTTTCGAATCTACAAAGAAAAGTTTTAAATCAATTTATAAGCGAAAAGATTATAGATTTTTTTAGGTGAGCATTATTAATCCGTTTTGACGAGAGTTCTGTGAAATTTTCTTTAAGAAGAGTCTTCTGACGTGCAAGAGAACATTTTTCATATTATACTGCACGTAAGAATATTGCATGCTAGCGCAGTGCGAATATAGCAATGTAGCGGCGCGATGCGGCGGAGCGCTCACGCACACTACCAGGCGCGCGGCTCACTGACGTGCTTCCGTCTAAAGGACAACGCCGATTGGATTAGCTTTACTCGATATTGAAGCGTCGTCTACAAAAGGTGGAGTAAGCTTGGCGTAAGAAGTAAGAGTAGGCGTAAGAGAACTACTTCTGGTTTAAGAGAGCTGGAGTAAGGGCGTAAGCGAAATGAATTATTTTTATTTCTTACGCTTACTCTTACTCTTACGCTTACGCTCGACTAATCAGAACGCAGGAGGAAAACTCAGGTACGCCAAAAGCGTTACTCCTACTCCACTTCTTACTCCACGCTTACACCGGTTATTGTAGACGACGCTTTACTGCTTCGTTGAGCATTGTAGAAAAAAATGGTTCAGAACTTTCTGACTCAATTTTTAGTCAGGAATAACGCTATATTATTAGTGGGCGCTATTTAATTAACACCCTGTATATCGATTTTTTTTCTTATTCCCTCCCTGCTGAAACACTCCCAGAAGATTCATGTCAACGACTAGGAAACAGTACAAAAATAAACGAATCACAAACACCTAATTCTCAATCTCAAAATCTTTCAGTTGAGAATGAGACAAAATTTATTCGCAACGAAACTGATACATTGTATCCGCATTTATAATTAAAAAAAAATATATATAAGAAATCCAACAACAACACTCAGTATATAACACCCTTCTTGGTAGAGACATAGAGTATAGGATTACCTTGATAAGAAAGCCGACTCGGTAACATCATGACATTAGTTAGTACGAATTCATTCTTCGTATAGCGAGCATCAAAACGTAACTCATCTAAGATCTGAATGTAAACCGTGATACTTTGTCACGGTTACATCTCGTTTACGCACCGCGCTTTTAATTATCTATTGACAGTACTTTCGATAAACAATTGCCTTAAAGTAAGCAAATTTTAATTTTTACTCACTTTGATCCAACCCGCGGATTAAGGGGGCATATACACCTAGGAGGGTCAAAAAAATCGATTTTTGGATTTTTACATAAAGTTTAATGTTTCGAGAATGTCTGGTGCAAATTTCAAGTCATAATTTCGAAAAATGACGAAGTTACAGCCCTGACAGTACAATGGCTTGATATCTATTTTTAGGCAACTTTTTTTTTAACGTCTTTCCTAAATTTCCCAGATGTATGTATGTATGTATGTTTCCCAGAAAAAATTCCAGAAAATGAACGTTTTTTTGGCCTTCTAGGTGTATATGCCCCCTTAACCAAAACATATGTTGAATATTCAAACGCGTTTCTCTCGAAACGACATTTTTCAAACTGGTACCAGAAATATCTCGAGAACCACTGAATTGATTTGCTTGGAATTTATAGGAGTTATTCAACACATAATTATCTATCGCGTATCGTAGGGGTTTTTTTAGGACTCATAGTTTTTTTTTCTGGCGAGGAAACGAACGGATTTTGTCTTAAAAATCGCTACGTCAAATTTAAACGCCCGCCATTTTGTCAAAAATCGATATTTTTGAAATCGGCTACGATACGCCAAAACTATTATTATATATTTTAATATTCCGCGCTATTTTTTTGTTTTAGTTAATTTTTGGCGAAGATACATCTGGTGCCGTTTTGGGTGATTTTTTCCGGGCTGCCTTTTCACGACGCCATATCTCCGACATTTTGCGAGATTCTTTAATAAAAAAAATCACGAAGTTTCTTTAAAATCCGATAACTCCAACAGTTTCCCAGAAAAAAATTCCAGAAAATTAACGTTTTTTTGGTCTTCTAGGTGTATATGCCCCCTTAAGGTAGGCTAATCTATCTTATATTTTCATAACCTCCGCTTTCTTCAGCCCTACCGTTCCCGTACATCGCTTAAAATGAAACCTCCGACCACGCTTGAGGAAAGCGAAGGACCTATTGATGAAGTGAGACCGCAGGACCATGAAGACCGCTACCACCTACTCCTGCGGAGCAGCTGTCTCGCGCAAATCACCGATGGGTCGATTTATGTGTCGCGAGTGTTTCCATGGCATAAAATGTGTGAAGGGTGTTATTCCGCAAGACCAATTAGAGGGGCAAACCCATATATTAGAAAAACGGAATACCACTCTATCACTTCACGTTTATACCGATTAATTATCGTGGGAGGAAAAAGTGTGTTGTGTGCGGTGTAAGCGGGAATTGGTGAGCGTGAAAAGGGCGATACACTGTAGACAGTGTATCGAAGAATATTTAGAGAGTGAAGACTATTTTATAATACGAAACAACGTAAGCATGAATTGCGAGATGGAAACAATAAAACGAGTAGAAGACCTGTGATGGTACCAGCCCACGGACGCTCTGAGCCAGGAGTGAAGTGCGGGCTGGTCTGCCGCGAGGGGAGCCCCCACACACAGACCTTCATACACCCCGCGCTCCGCGCCCCGCCCAGAGCGACTGAGTTAGGTACGTGTACGTGTGAGCCGCATGACTAATCCCCCCCTCCACCTTCTACATAATAAAATTAATATCGAGAAAAAAAAGACGGCTCGCCGGGAATCAAACTCGGCTCGCGCGGTTGACAGTCTGACACTTAACGCATGCGGCTATCACGTACACTCGATAAAAAATTCTAAAAAGTGATATATAAGGTGCACGCGTAGACACACACACACGCACGCACACACACAGATACAATCGTAATAAAATAAAAAAACGGGTCGCCGGGAATCGAACCCGGCTCGCGCGGTTGACAGTTCTGACACTCGACGCACGCGGCTATCGCGTACACTTGACAAAAAGTGTGTATAAGTGATATACAAGGTGTATGCACATGTTTCTACAAGTTTGAAGAAAAAAATCTAGCAGAGCATGATTTCGATCCACGGTCCTCTGAGTTATGAGCCCAGCACGCTTCCACTGCGCCACTCTGCTCGTCGAATGCAGGAATAAATGTAAGGGTCTAACACACATGCGACTATTGCACAAGAATTGAGGTGTGTGGTTTGAAGATAGGGTCTAGCATTCCTGCGTGATCACGCAGGCAGGAAGTGTGTCAGATGTATTTTTCCCGGTGCAAGTGTGAGGTTTGCAGCGGTGATGACATTCCGAATCTCAAGGGCGACGAAAAAGGAATAAAAGCGCGAGCGATCAAGCGTATTCGTAGCGTCGCGCAACGATCGAGTTCGGCGAAACATCATGTTCAACGCACAGGTTCGTAGCGACGGTGTAGAAAAAGTTTTTAGTTATAAAATAACATCGTCTGTTACGAACAGGCTACACAACGACTAGATGAGATGGAGAAGAAGAAGACGATACCGGTTATAGAGATTGATGCAGAGTTTACCTTGCTTGAATTGTTGACAGACGTGTGGGAAGCGTCTTTTTCGGCGACGCGGAATATAAGACTGGTAATTGCAATGATAGCAGGTTACATTGCGAGAAGTGGAAAAGTGGATACGCGTCGTATGTGTGAGGGACAGGGGATGAAAAGCATTTTACAGGAAATGTACAGCCTGTGGGTGCGGATG